TATTTGTCTGTGAGACTCTGTTTGAAAAGATTGTGTCAATATTACAATGTTTATCAGTGCATCTATATATGTACTCCCGTGGCTCCTGCCCCTTCTCTTACAAGGGAAGTGGACTAGGATAAACTTAAACAATGACTTCTTGCTTGAAAAACCCATCAGTGTGTTTGCACAGAGCTGAGAAAACAAAGAAAACTACCTATTTAAGAATTATTTTCTATCAATAGCTGTGTGTGAAAACAACCCCAGAGAGAGGACAGATAACACAGCAACTATAGTTGATGGGATTTAATTTAGCAAGGTGTAAGTAATTGTGGAATTCCATATTTCACATTTCCATTGCCACAATATGTAGACCTGGGGGGAAAAAAACAACCTGAGTCAATATTTCACTACTAATGGTTTTTTCAAAGGTGTGTAGGAACATTGGTTACATTTATTGGCTCATCTGATACTGCCAGCCAAGACCCTGCTCTTCTGGGAGGAGTAGTACTCCACTTACATACCAGTAGTTCAGCCAAATAGTATAAAGGGGTGACAAGAATTGATGGAACACTGTATATTTCCATCAGTGTGCAGTGCTTCATATTCAGAGCCATATTGTATGATAATCTTGATAGAAATGGGTTTATCTGGGTAGTTCCAAACAGGAAGAAGCCTGTGTATACCCACTAATAAGTCTGTTTATGTTGATGTCCTGACCTATCTCTTGGAACAAAAATATGGTACAAGTTTTGTTTCCCTGATACCACTCCTGGAAATACCTTCCTTGAAAATAACACACCTGGGCGTGACTTGTACTAACTGGCTGACGGACACTTGAAATGTTGCCTGTAGGGTGGTACTTGTAGAAAGTCACGTCACAGAAATGGTAACCTTGGGGTTCTTTTAAAAAAAATTTATTTAACAAGTATTTATACAGCGTGTAATAAAGGAGTACCCTTTAATGCTCTGGGCGCCCTTGTCTATTCTTTTGGCCAAGCCAGGTGAAATCTAACACTCAGATCTCTGGCGTTTTCCTGTCTGCCTGTAACATGATCTCCCTGAAACCCCATATCGGACAAATTCAAAAAATTTGAAGGAGTGTTCCAGGGATCAGTAGGCACAACCCTGTTGATTTTGCTGCAAATCGGAGTGCCAGAAAAGCCTGATTCAATGGAAAATCAGGCCTGGTGCTGCAGGCAGAGGAATCTCGCTGCAGGCAGAGGAATCTCACTGCCACCCTCTGCTGCTGCTGCCTAGACATATCAGAGGCAACAGCTTAACTTACTGTGTAGGTTGATTGTCTGTAGCCTGGGCTCCAACAGAAATAAGAGAGCCTTACAGGGAGGGCTTGTGGGTGGGAGGAGAAAGAGGGTGCACAGAGATCCTGGCAGGAAATGGAGTGGAGGTACACAGAGACACTGGCATGGAGGGAGATGCAGGACCCAGGGATGGTGGGTGCACAGAGACCCTGGAATGGGGGGAAATGAGAGGGGATGCGAAGAGACACTGGCATGTGGCAGAGAGGGGAATGTGAGCTACACAGAGCTCCTGGCATGGGGTAAGTGGTAGGGGGGAGCTGCACAGAGTAAATGAAATGGAGGGGGATGGGAGCTTGTGGGGGGAGAATGGAGGGATGCAAGGAGCACCTGGTGTGTGCAATGAGCTCAGTTTACAGAAGCTGCAAAGTCTGTGCCCCCCCCCCACTCTAGAAATACACTGGATCAAACAGACGCATCAGTCTCCCCGATCAACTTGAATACACAGCGATGACATGAACGACTGAAATCAATCGACCCCACACAGAGTCTCCAGAGCTGCTGTACTTCACTGTTGTGCATGCAGTTAAAATTGCTTTTTGGATGAAATCCATCTCCATGCAGAAAGCCAGCCTAATGCCTGGGAACCCTTGAGCTCCCATTTCAGCTCTGTTTGGAGGGTTTAAGTGGGACTGAAGTGGGCCTTGCCCTTGTACACTAGCTCTATGCATAGGGGAGAATCTCACCCTTTAGGAGCAAACTGCAATGTCAAATTTGGCTCTTTTTATAAATGAATAACATGTAGTGTAAAACAAGTGTACTTACACATGTCCATCTTCTTCACTGATTATGTGGACCATTTCTGCTCCCAATCGGGCCCAAAGCAGAGTCAATATATTCTTATTCCAGAGAAATTCAACTTTTGTAATATATCTTGGGTTAATTTCAACATCGACGTACTTTGTATAAATGCTGCCTTGATGAAGGAGTCCACTGCAAATAGGAGAATGAGGAGAGTGACACTATCTGATATGGTCCAGGGGCAGGGGTTCTCAACCTTTTTCTTTCTGAGTCCCCTCCCATGTTATAAAAACTCCACAGCCCAGCTGTGCCACAACTGCTTTTCTGCATATAAAAGCCAGGGCTGCTGTTAGAGGGTAGTAAGCAGGGCTATTACCGGGCACACCGGGAAGCTAAGTTGCTTAGGCTTTGGCTTCAGCCCCTTGCGGTGGGGCTCGATGCCCTGGGCTGCAGTCCCATGCGGCAAGGCTTCAGCTTTCTGCCCTGGGCCCTAGCGAGTCTAACACCGGCCATGGTTGGTGGACCCAGTGAAACCTCGTGGCCCTACAGAGAGCCCCAGACCTCTGGCTGAGAACCACTGGTCTAGGGGGCTGCTGAGCTAAGACAGGTTCTAAAGAACTTTCAGCATGTTGCCCTTATTTTTTATAACACTTAGTAACTTTTTAATAATAATTATTTGTATTTCTGTAGTATCCCCTGTGCTAGATGCTGTATATACACAGAACAAAAAGATGGTTCCTGCCCCAAAGAGCTTGCAATCTAAGAGTAAAACAAGAGACAACATATGACGACAGACAGACGCGGGGAGTACAAGGAAACAATGAGACATTATTGGTCAGGTGGATGGGTTGTGATCTCAGCACACTGGTAGCTTAACCATTGTCAAGTTTTTTGTAGACATCGTGGGAGAAGAGAGTTTGAAGGAGGATACTGAGGTAGCTTTGTGGAGGTTTACAGGGAGCTCCTCCCAAGTATGAGGGGCAGCATCAGAGAAAACTTGAAGGTGAAAATTTAGCAAGTGGGAGATGGAGGCTGGCATCATGGGCTGAACAGAGGGGGGAGTTAGGTTGTGAAGGGCCATGCACCCCTTGCACCCTTCATATAAAGGTCTCTGTGCTATTCTCACATTAATAAAGCTTTTTCATGTAGTCAAGATAGGTAACATACCCAGTTTACGGATTGGGTAAACCAAGGCCCGGAGGTTAAGCAGCTTGCATGAGTTCATCTAGCAAGTCAGTGGCAGAGCAGGGAATCATGTAAGCATGTGGGAGTGAATATGCTAACAAGCTATCACAGTGCTAGCATGGAAGTGGCTAGGCCAATGCCTGTGGCAAAGCTGCACACAATGCCCGGTATGACCTGGATGGACATATGAACAATCTCTCTCCGAGCTGGCTGGAGCCTTCTCTCCAGGCAAATCTGACTCCCGAGTGCTTGTTAAATGTTACAGAGCCCAGGAAAAGGAATTGACTTCCATGCCCCTGCTCCAACCATTAGCCAATACTCATAAGCCTTGTCTGTTTTTACGTGTGTTAACTAACATGACTGCAACAATGAACAAATGTGTGTTGCTTGCAGCCTTTAAACATGACTTGCAAACAGAGGTGTGAATGAAATATAGACACACTATAAAGCCTAGTCTTGTGCCATTGAACTTACCAGATAATTTTGTACTGCTTTGTGAACCCGTCTGTGCCATGGAAAACTATGTTTAGTTCCCCCCTCACTTTCTTCGTGCCAGACAGCTTGATAGATATTCGGTGGCTCCAACCTACACAACAAAACCAAATCAAAGTAGATTGCTGGCATTGTTTAGGTTCCTTACCTACCACAAACAGTGACAGTTCTCTTGTAAGTGTACTTTTACTGTTCTCGTTTGAAGAACAGGCAGCTCAAGGGTCTCAGCAAGAATGGACTTTAGTAAACCGTTCAGTGTTTTTCCTTGGTTGTCAGCAGCCTTAAACTAGAGAGACGTGGAAAACCACCACCATTCAGCTTCTCAAAGGTTTATAACAGCACAGCGAGTTTACAGCTTTAGATCATCTCATTTCAAACCCCCCACCCCCATCTATTTGGCTAAATAATTACCCTTCTACACTTACTAGTGAAGGGTGGGTGTGCTCCTGTGTTTAAAAAATATTTTTGGTTTATTTTCTCCAGTTTAGCTGGATATTGATCAGCATAGTGACCCATCATTGGGCAGCCGTCTCTGGGACATGGGAAGCAGAGTCCCTAGAGGAAAATAAGAGCGTCTGGGTAATGTGGAATATTTTTCTTTTCATCCTAACTCTTGCAAGACTAAGGCCGAAGAGGTGGCCCTGATGCTGCCAAAGCCTTGACCATTCCCTTCCCACACTATTGAACCCCACTGCGTTTCAATGTCCTGTTTCTGATATCAGTTTCTTTTCTGATTATTTGTGCTTAACCATCTGAGGATGAAACAAACTAACTCTTTACCCGTAACAATGAGGGGTGCACTTAACTTCCAGGTGGTGATGGTCTGAACCCTTCCATTTCAAACACTACCTGTTTTTCAGCCTGAGATTTGTACAAAACGTATGCTAGCCATAAACCTCCAATGGAACTTGTAGCATAGGAGACACCTGAGGTTTCACCTGTCCCAGTGGAATCATCAGATACTCAGGATTCCGCCACTGGTACTGCATGGGAGCCAGGGTCTATCTGTATCTATCCTGCCTTTTGCCTGCTCTCTACCAGCTGCATTGCTTTATTATTGTTGGAGCTTCCTTCTCCCTAAGTCCTGATCCCAGTCAGGCACTGGGAGAGCAGAGACACCCTAGCACCTGACTCTGTGTGTGATGTGTGTACATGAAAGTAGAGTTGTTTGCAGCTCACCCATTCTTGGGCTGTTATGCTTACCGACTGGAAGAACTCGTATGTCCTGCAGGGATATCCAAGAAATCCATTGGGATAGAGGATACTTTGAAAATAAAACTGATGGCTGCGTGAATGATGGCATATAGGAGAATTGGCATCTGTTGAAACAAAATTATGAGTGTCTGTGAAACCATCTTCTATTACATTTGGCCATGTAGAGCAGGGGTGGTTTTTTCTCCTTTATAACAATAATAAAAATGCTGGCTGGAAGGATAGCATGGTCCTGTAGGACTTAAGGGGAATGTTATGGGTTTCTGGTTGTCAATATCATACGAGAAACTCGCTGCTTCAATTGACCAATGCATTGACTTCTCATAGCTGGAAAACTGGGTTCACACCTGCCTAAGATCTCTTGTGGATATTGATCCATGTTACAAGACAGCTACGCAACACAGTATCATTTTTTGTGTTGCAGCATGCCATAAA